ACTCCAACTCAAAAAAAAAAAAAAAAAAAAATGTGGGGTGAATGGTAAGGAAGTGAAAAGGAATGAAGACATTGGGTGTGCCGTCAGACCTTATGATAATCACTCCTCTCTGATGTTCCTCATTAATCCTCATCGGAGCCAGGCAGCAGAGTGAGCAGAATAGCATTTGCCTTCGCGAGCCGCTGGAACTCAAACTGCAGAGGATGGAACGGTTCAGAGGATATTCTCATGTTCTGTCTCGACAGTTTCAGTAAGACTCATGTGAGCAGACGTGGCGCCTTCTGCAGAAATGATGGGGGTGTGGGGTGGAGGCTTTGAGAGCCAGACGTAGGTAACAAGATGACAGGGACAGAGCCCTGGGCGACCTTCCCCTGGTCCTGTGCTCCAGTCCTGAATGTGCAGCCAACCCACAGGCTGGACTCTTCCAGAGGCTTCTGGAGATTTACATTCTAAAATCTCTCTTCTCTTTGACTTCTTCTGTTTCTCCCTTGCTACTTCCACTCTTGCTGATCCCCCAGGTCCTCGGGAGACCGAAATGTAAGCCAGAGCAGGAGATGGGGCATGCATTAATTTCAGTGTCTTTGTGTCTTGCAGGAAAACAGAGAATCCTGCATCTTAAATCCTGTTTGTCCTGGGATGCTATATTTTTGTGACTCCCCCCATATATTTTTATTATTGAGAAAAGACTTAATGTCTAAATATCTGATATGAAAAGCCAAGAGTGTTGGGAGGGCAGGCTTGGGAGTCAGTGCTTCAGAGAGTGACCTTGGGCAAGTTCCTCTGAAATTTCTGTCCCCCCCCCACCAAAGCTGCTTCTCTGGCTGGGTCTACATACATAACTGCAAATTGGAAAATCAACTGCCCTGCAGTCTGCCCAGGGCACCTGCTCCATATCCTACCTCTTATAACAATTCCTGTAATTAAGGTATGCTAGTTCTCCTTTTACAGGTGGGCCACCAGAGTTTGCCTCAGGCTATGAAGATAGTGAATACCTGGGAACAGGAACACCCTTCCCCAACGCAGGTGGTGACCGACTTTATCTTCTGTGTCGGTAGTGATCTGGAAAGCACTCACTGGTTCTGACCTTCACCCCTCCTAATCTTTGTTTCTTCAACTTTAAATGAGGGGAGGGGCCAGGTGTGATGGCTCACACCTATAATCCCAGCACATTAGGAGGCAGAGGTGAAGAGGATTGCCTGACTGGGGTTTCGAGACCAGCCTAGGCAACATGGCGAGACCTCATCTCTACAATAAAAAGAAAAAAAAATTAGTCGGGCTTGGTGGCGCATACCTGGGGTTCCAGCTACTTGGAAGGTGGAAGGATCGCTTGAGCCCAGCAGGTCAAGGCTGTGGTGGCCATGAACTTGCTGCTGCACTCCAGCCTGGGTGACAGAGTGAGACTCTGACTCAAAAAACAAACAAACAAACAAATAATGAGGGGTGAATGACTGAGCATGATGGCTCACGCCTGAGCCAGAACTTTGGGAGGCCAAGGTGGGAGGATCTCTTGAACCTAGGAATTTGAGACCAGCCTGACAACATTGCCAGACATCATCTCTACAAAAAAATAGAAAAATTAGCTGGACGTGGTGGTGCATGTCTGTAGACCCAATTACTCAGGAGGCTGAGATGGAAGGATCCCCTGAGAGCCCATGAGGTTGAGGTGGTGGTGAGCTGTGACCGTGCCACTGCACTCCAGCCTGGCCAGCAGAGTGAGACCCCTGACTCAAAATAAAACGGGCTGGGGGGGCTTGGAATAGCTTAAGCCCCTAGACTCCTGGGGGATTCAGGAAGCTGGGAATGGGGGCTGCAGACTGCATCTAATATGCAAGAAGCTGTCTCCCAAACTGACAAGGAAACAGCCACACCAGGCCCAAGAAGACGCTGGCTTGCTCTGGGCTGGAAGGACGGTGGCGCAGCTGGCTAGGCTGGCTACCTCACACAGATCACAAGCTCCGATGGGCAATTATACATGTCTTTGATTAATAAAAAATGGGGCAATGAATGAATAGTTAATCAATGCAGTCTGGTGGAAGGCTCCTTCAGAGCCTGGACTGGGGGTGAGGTGGGGAGTCCTCTATGGGGTCCTGGGGGTGAAAAGCCAGAGTACCCCTTGGGGGATGGCTTCTGAAAAGCCCTCATTCCTGGTTCTCGGCCCTGGTGCTGTGGTTGTGAATTTTTTCCAGCAGCTCTGGGCAGCTGAGACCGGGAGAGAGGGAGGGGCTCATGGCAAAAGTGTGTTTCCTGCCCACCCAGGGTCACGAAAAGTAGGTGGAAGGGGGTGTGTGCCTGCACGTGGCTGCCTGTGCCGCCTCTGGGTGTTGTGAGTGGGTGACCCTTCCTGTGGGTGGGCCTGTGTGTGTGTAAAAACATCCAGCGCACCCGGCTAGGGGAGGGAGAGGCGGGGGGGGGGGCTGGGGTTCTGGGGGGTCCCAGAGAAGATCCACCGGGTGTGGTGGCTCATGTCAGTAACCTCAGCACCTTGGGAGGTCGAGGTGGGAGGATCGCTGGAGGCCAGGAGTTCCAGAGCAGGCTGGGCCACCGAGGGAGACCTCGTCTCCAAAAAACAAAAAGTAAAACCAAATCAGCCAGGCCCGTTGGCACGAGCCTGTCGTCCCAGCTACTCGGAAGGCCGAGGGGACGGATGGCTTGAGCCCGGGCGGTCAGGCTGCGGCGAGCCGGGATCACGCCACTGCTCTCCAGCCGCGGCGGGCGGCGCAGCGAGGCCTGGAGTCAGAAAACGAGAAGGAAGAGCCGGCCAGAGGCAGGGCAAAAGGGCGGGAGAGGACGACGGCGCCGCCGGAGGAAGT